TATAAACTAGTAAACATTGTTTCCTCAGGAAATTTCCAGTGGGACTCACTTAAAAGTAAATGGTGTACCTTGGATTTGCAGCATTTGGCCTTGGACTGAGTAGTAGAACAGTCTTTAAAACGAACATTTGAAATACGATTTTATTCATTTTGATTGTCTGAGGTTTTACGTGGTTTACACACATCTAAACTCTGTAGGAAAATTCATTTCATTTGCATGAGGAAAACGGTTTCATACTTAGCATACAAAATTGCCGAAACTTAGCTCCAGTCTTTACAAGCAAAATTATTTATAGCTAAAAATTCTGGCAATACTACTGTAGGAAATATGTCACTCTGCTACTTTATACTTAATCAAATTACACATTTTGGTTCTTAATTAGTTATGTAAGAAAAGTTTCAGAAATATTAAAGGATACAGATGCTTCCAGGTTACCTTCACTCGAGGTGCGCTATTGAGCTTAAATAAAAAAGCGAATGGGCAACCACTCAATATTCAAGAACATGGCAGAACTATGGAAACAAGACAAAAAAAAAGTTACTGTACAAACAAATATGAATGAGGCCACTATTAGAACAGAAATAGCTCAACTTTGTTTAAAAATGTATTCAATAGTGTCTTCAGTGTAATGGGCCCAATTGCATTAGACAATTGGACATCCCTGCTATGTTTCAGGGTTTTATTTCAGGAAGAAATGCTGTACTAACATTTGTATTTTCTCACCCAATGTTTTCAGTTTTGTATGTTGGATGATCACCCTCACCCCCATAAGGATCTTTGAGAAATATCATGAGAAGTGGAGTTTATATCCCTTTAAAAAGAAATAAAATTCATTCAATTTCTCTCCACCAATTATTATCTTTTTTAAACAACAACAACCCAACAATAATTCAGTTGATTAATCAACCAGAGCTTTGATTCATTAAACCAAAATTTAAAATTCTTGCAGATCTAATATTTAAAGTTCATGAACTCACGGTAAGCAAGATATAGAATTCTAGAGAGTATGTATACAATGGAAAGGCAGGTCATTCTTTTTGACATGAAGTGAATAGAAATGCTCGTTGATGTAGATCTGTTTCTAGATTGAATTATTTTAAATACTCAGAATTACAGTTCAGACAATGTGCTAAAACTGCCATATGATAAACTGGTGCCTTTGAAATCATTTCAGATACTCAATTATCTTCACAAATATGGCAAACACTCTGTCACAATGAATTATGGTTTTCACTTGGATATGTTATTTGGCTTGAATCATTATCAACATCTCTTGCATGAGCAAGTACTTCTTAAAGGAATTTATTTTTTTACATTCCATGTTGATTTCCTTCCTTCCAGGTAAGTTAACAAAGAAAAAACTAAAACATACCGGCCCAAGTGCACTTGTAGTTGTATTTCACAAATATGCGGAAGAAAAAAATAACACTCACACCTGAATCAGGAGTTCATTGGATTGGTTTAGAAACTTCCTACCTTCAAGGAAGTCTTTTGTCATTACAGTGGTACCTCAGGTTACAGATGCTTCAGGTTACAGACGCTTCAGGTTACAGACTCCACTAACTCAGAAATAGTACCTCCGGTTAAGAACTTTGCTTCAGGATGAGAACAGAAATCGTGCTCCGGCGGTGTGGCGGCAGCAGGAGGCCCCATTAGCTAAAGTGGTACCTCGGGTTAAGAACAGACCTCCAGAACGAATTAAGTTCTTAACCCGAGGTACCACTGTACTTTTATGGGAGATTTTACAGTAAAACCTAACAATGCATAGCTATTCTAGTTAGTAAATGAAGGGGTTAAGGTCCAGAGAGCTGTAAATTCTAGAGAAGATCACACCCTTTCACCTTCAGAGAGGGAAGAAGTAAGGGTTTTCTGTTCCTTTCTGCCTCCTTCCCTCCTCTCTTCTCTGTGAACCATGTAACTGAACAGACATCTGGGGCTGGGACTCCAGACTCAAACCCCATGCTTGAGACTAACTTTTGTATTATGTAGCCATTAATACTTTACCTGTGTTGTTTCTGCTGTAGCATTGAATGATGCATGAGTGAAACCTCTGATTACTGTAAGTAAAGCTTTTTAACTTAGTTAAGGTTGTGGTCTGTTCACTCCAAGAGAGGTAGAAGTGGAAGAGCAAAATTATAAGTGCTTAATACTGGGGCATCAGTGGTGCAATTAGGTGATTTTAGACTCTAGACTTAAATGTTTCAGTATTGGGACACATCTCTTTAAATGGCACGGTGCATTTCTTAACGTGCTTCAACATGGCGTAAGGAAGCCATGCAATGTTTGGCAGCCCTTCCACTCTGAACATCTGCCCCAAAGTTCTGTTCTGATGGCACAACTGCCTCTGCTCACTGTAGATAATTCTGGAAAGTGTTGTGAGGTATACAAGGGATCAACCAGCCCTCCACCATAGACTGGTGTGGACTGAAAGAATAATGTTCTCCTGTGGTTGGATACTTAAGCAAGATTAGTAGTAGGGTCAATTTGCCTTTCAGGGAAGCATCTCTATGATTATTGATCTGCCTGCTAAGAATGACACAACAATAACAGCAGCAGCAGCAGCAGCAGCAGCTTCTAAGGAATACTTTCATACCCTGGATAACAATTGGAAAACCTCTGATCTAGTGTGTTCTGTGGTCTTCTGAAATGTTCTGTTTTAATTTTAAGATAGCTATAGAACAATTTTTTAAAGGAAATACATTAGTGCCAGCTTGCACAACATGTGACTGACCAAATGCAAAATGCAGTCCATGTTAATTGGCCACCAGAGACTCAGTAAACTTTTTGTTCCTGCTGTTTTCCTGGAACTGCTAAAAGTAGGGACTTGTCACACACCTGGCTGGGGGAAAGTGTCCAGCTTATTAGGACATAGCTTGTACAGGTCACATTAGTGATTTCTGCTAAATCTGTGAAAAGCAGAGAAAGCTGGACTTCCAGTGTTCAGTGGATGGAGAGTTTTTGCCTATGCATGAAGTGCAGTGATGAAAAGTCAACCAATCTGTGTATTGACTCACTCTGTATCCTGGGACAAGGACAGATACCCTGCTTCTAAGAAACGGGCCACAGAGATATCAACAGTAAGAGTTGCTTTGCATATTCTGAAAGGGAGCAAAAACAGACCTTATAAGTGACTCACATTTTCGCTTTTCACACTTCTGGATAAAGAGATGGGGGGGGGGAACTTGTGGAAGAATGGTGGGACATAGCTGTAATTCATTTATTCTGTATTCAGTGTCTGAGCCATTCAGCAATTGTTCTATATTTAGGTCGTCTCAGAGAAACTGCTCTGAACACTGAGAAGTAGTGATAAATTTCAAGGCGAATCACACAGAGAAGGCCAAGACTCAAGCAGCAACCAAGGGCAGTTAGTTATGGAAGATGGAGATGTGTGTATGAGGGTATTTAGAAACGAGGCAAAAATCACATTTGTTGCTTTGCTGATATTGCCTCTTTACCTGCCCATCAGTGCCATGTCCCCTGAAAGGTTTCCTAGATGGGAACATGACCCTTGATCTCTAAATGGTTCACCATTCCTGACCAACAGTTTTAGAAACTATCACTGCACGCCAGTGGTAGGCTCTCTGGTATCTTCCTTAGGGTACTTTTCCTCTTTGTATCTCAGTCACTACACATTTGCTCTGTTGTCCCACAGTTTGGGGGCCACAGTTACCGGTATATCTTTTCTATTAGCCAATCTGTTTAGGAATATCAGTGTAAGTCATTTGGAGCATGGGGGGAAAAGAGGCAAAACAATTCTTAATACGATTTATAAATTAAATGAACAAACCAATCCCTACGTCAGGAATGAGAGACTGTCACAAGTCTCTTGGAAAATGGAGCATCTCAGAGAATCATCTGGAAGTCATACTGGATATTTCTCTAGCCATGACACATTTAAAGTGCCAAGGTCAGCAAATTTGAGGAAATGGGGGCACGTGGATATTCACCCAAACCTTAAAAGTTCAGAATTGGAAACAAATGAATAAGTGAACAACAACAACAACAACAAAGAATCCCTTCAATTTAATAATTCCATGTTGGCAATACCCCTTAGGGTGCTTACTCAAAATCACTTGACAAAGATTAATTATCTCATAGCTTCCCCTTAAATTCCCTGTAAAACTCACAATCCCATATTTCAGTGTGTGTTTATGGTTGAAGTGGTCATTATCTTGTGTGAATGAGATTGCTATGCTATAGTTATTATTACATAAAAAGTAATATTAATAAGTCTTAATTCACAGTTTCTTTCTTTCTTTCTTTCTTTCTTTCTTTCTTTCTTTCTTTCTTTCTTTCTTTCCTTCTTTCGAGTCCAAAGAGTGCATGATTGAACCTTTCAAGAATATTGTCCCACTTCCTCCTATTAAAGGGTACTCCTCATATCAGATAATCATCTCAATAATGACTTTTTGAAGTATGCAACTCTCCTTCCACACAGGAAACTAAAACTGAGAAAGTGTTGTTTGCCTTTGTCCCTTTGCCTGTCTTAGGTCCCAGGAACAAATGATCCTACGTTCTTCAAATCTAAGATGTTAAGAACCACTGTATCAGATAATTGGAAATGTAAAATTGCCAGCCACCGCTCTGTAGACCAGGAAAATATATTGGTCCATAGTTCATCAACCAGGTTAATTCCAGTGTACAACACAGTCTGAAGTGTATATATCACACAGACACAGGATAGCATCCATCCACTAAATGAGAAGAAACTATCCCACTAAGTCTAAAGTTATTTCTCAACCAACAGAGAATGGTATCCTGGAGGAGGATCCTAACAGCTCCCCTAACAACCTGAGTGGAAGGTCATACAGCTTTCTATGTAGAGAGGGAAGTGAAATAAGTTTGCAAGTATTCCAGTTGTGACATTACTTGCATCAGTTTTGTCTGACCCTCCTTTCAAGGGAAATTAGTAGGAAAGGAAGCCTCAAGAAATGTGTGCTACCTCAGCCTGGTGAGAACTGGGGTTAAATAAGTTGAAGTTCTTGTTATTAAATATACCAAGAAAAAAGCACACCAAGAACTCAGGCCAATGTAAGTTTCAATAGTGGGAGTGGTCCCTACTATTGAAACTTACATTGGCTTGAGTTCTTGGTGTGCTTTTTTCTAGGTGAGAACTGGGAACATCCACCACTGTTTGAGAGAGACAATGGCTAAGAGCTACCTTTGAGAGAGGACTATGTGTTTTCTTTTCTCTTTCTTACTCTGCTTTTGTTCTATTTGGATTAGTTTCTTTTATCTTATTCTATTATGAAAAAGATTTAATAAAATCTTATAAAAATATGTCTGTCAGGGGAAAGCATGCATAAAAAAGCATATATTAGTGATAATAACATTCAACAATGTATTATATAATGGGGAACTGCCTGGGAAAGCACACACTCAAAAGCTGATCTATTTTGATGAGGACTTTTTTTAAACTCATGTGGCAGACTGAATTTAGGACTGGAAAAAATAAAAACGGAGAAACCAAAACTGACAGATCCATCCATTCCTTCAACAGGGTCAGTCCACACTTAACTCAAGGCGAAAAGGAGAAATGAGCTGAGAAGAAGGCACATTTGGCAAACCAAATGAGCCTCTGTGGCTCAGGAGAGGCTGGGGGGGGGGTTACAGGACCCAGAGGCAACCTCCTCTTCCCCTGATGGGGCTGAGAGTGGAGCACCTGCAGGCAATGGGTCCTCCATCACCTCAGGGGCCAGAGCAGATTCAGCTGGTGCCTGCACCTGAGGATCCAGCACAGGTGAGGACCCTTCAGGCTCAGGCCCCAGCCCCGGCTCAGCTGGTTCTGGAGGTGGGGACTCCTGTGCAGGCTGGGATTCCTCAGGTTCAACCTCTGAGTCCGAATCCCAGGCCATCACAGTATTGAAATATATGAAGTGGGATAATGTAAGACAACGTAATAAATCACATAACTTCCATAATTATGCCACAGAGGACAGAGAGATGAAGAATGTAGCTTTTGGACTGCAGCAGAACAAAAACAGGACTCTTTACGAGAGTCCTAAAATTGGGGTTCTTTTCTGGTTGTTCACTGAAAATGCATGCAATTAATGGCCCCAACACAATACTAGTGGAAGGGGTTCTGGCAATATTAGTTGTAATCCTCCATTAGCTTCCCCAATTTTTCTAATTCCAAAAACCCCTTGTACAATGTCCTGGTGTTATCTGATGACTTTACGGAGCTCAGTTTCGAGCAGCATAGGATCACACAATGTAATGTCTTTTTCTTGAATCCCAACTCCATAATCCCTATTTAGCCAAAGTTTTCCTTAACAAGCTTGATAAATAGAGCTCTTCAAAAGAAATCTGTCTGAGCACTGCGGTATTGTTTTGAACACTAGTAATGCTCAGTAGATGCCTTTCATGAATAAATATTGAAGCCATTTCTAGGGAATTTCACGTTGCCAATATTCTTCAGGCTGAATTAATCTGCATTATTAAAAAAAAAAAAACCTGTTCTGAAGATGCAGTTACCTTTCCCTCATATGGGATGTTGCATTTAAATCATTATAATAATACAAAATAGTGAACACACCAATAACTCATCATTTTTCAATGAATGCAAAACTCCTTGTTATTGCATTTTTCTTCTTCACATACTAACATTTTAGCAGCATCACCTCTATCCAAAGATCAAATAATTATACTGGTTTTCTACAGTCCATAATATTTCATGCCCTTGATAAATTCTATGGAAGATGTGTGATAATAAGCTTGTTTGTCTTGAAAGTGCCACAAGGCTCTTTGTTCATATTATAGAGATTTCTGGGGCATATTTCAGGGATAATACTCAGTTCATGTTGGGTATCACTGTTCCCCAGCATGAACAAAGAGGGCACTCTGGTATATTCCCAAAGTTCTTAAATATTTGCATTTTCTAGGCAAAGATTAGTAGTAACAGACATATATGACTTTCAGGACAGTATATCCACAGTCGCTGATCTCACTGAGGAATATTCAGTAAGCTTCCAGGAAACTAAAGGTTGTCCCAGAGCACAGTTCAAGAACCACTGCATTACAGAGAATTTGACCATGCTTAAATAATACTGAGTATTTACAGATTTACTGGATTTTCATAAAACTCAGTAATTAAAGTATACATGGGGAGGGGTTTCATTATTATTATTATTATTTAAAAAATCTCTCCCTCTCTCTCTCTCTCTCTCTCTATATATATATATATTCAAAGTTGAATCACAACAGAAACTTAAAACTGCTTATTTAAAATAATGTCAAAGTTCAAACCTGACAGATGTTGAAATATTTTCAGTTAAAAGGAGCCTGTAATTTATATTCCTCGACAACAGCTTTAATTCAGATTGAGATAATCCCAGCTTTTCAGATGCAGACCTCTAAATAAGGCTTGGAAATGTCACAATGACATCCAAGAAGGGCATTGCAGAAAGCTAAAGCTTTAGAAATTCAGAAACTGGATATCATCACAAATGTGCAGTGTAAAGTATGTCTGGCAGTACTTCCCCAAAGAGATTTTTCTATACAAACTTGATGTGACACACACAGAAGAGTAAATTATAAAATAAAACTTTGCAAACAATAAATTGTCATGTGCAAAACACACGAGAGGGGGGAAAAAAACTTTTTTGGATAGTGAACATGGCAAATTTATTGATATTTACATTCTGAGCACAACAGAATTCTGTCTGACTTTTAATGAATGTCTATCCTTTAGTATACGAGATCCAGAAAGGAAGAGATTGAGGTGTGATTCAAACATATACAAATAGCATAGGTAAATCTTTCCTGGATTGTACAACTTTGAACTGTAGGTATGATTATCATGTTTGCCATTGCTGCCCTCATTTTCAATCACTGTGCATTAAAAAAATCTATCATGTCCCAGAAAGGAATGTTTGCTTATTTTATTATAACCTGTGTTTTCTTTATCTTTTTGAAAATAAAAAAGCAGATGAAATATGAAATAGAATTGCTTTGTAATTTTCTTAGCATACTAACAGGAGTTCCATTGCTTGTTAGTTTTCTATCTTTTCAGGTCAACTATTAGGGCAGTTTCAATACCAAACAAATTCAGCTTCTCAGGCTGACTAGTTTTCGCAGTCAGGGAAAAATACAATTCTGGTATTTCTTGCCAAACTCCCAAGCTCCATCCTTCCTCCTCTTCCACCATGTAGAATCTGAAGCCAACTTTGTAAATCTGAATAAATTGGAAGTAAAGAGCCCTTGTTCTTTACAAAGTGACCTTTCTAGTCGAAACAAAATTAAAAAAAATCCTTCCAGTAGCACCTTAGAGACCAGCTAAGTTTGTTATTGGTATGAACTTTCGTGTGCATGCACACTTCTTCAGATACAGAGGGCAGCAGTGGCAAACATGGTAATCATATCCACAGTTCAAAGTTGTACAATCCAGGAAATATTTACATGTGCTATTTGCATATATTTGACCTTTCTAGGTAAAGGTAAAGGACCCCTGGACGGTTAAGTCCAGTCAAAGGCGACTATGGGGTTGTGGCGCTCATCTTGCTTTCAGGCTGAGGGAGCTGGCATTTGTCCACAGACAGCTTTCTGGGTCATGTGGCCAGCATGACTAAACCGCTTATGGCACAATTGAACACCGTGATGGAAACCAGAACACACGGAAATGCCGTTTACCTTCCCGCCACAGCGGTACCTATTTATTTACTTGCACTGGTGTGCTTTCGAACTGCTAGGTTGGCAGGAGGTGGGACAGAGCAATGGGAGCTCATCCTGTAGCGTAGATTCGAACCGCCGACCTTCTGACTGGCAAGCCCAAGAGGCTCAGCTGTTTAGACCACAGTGCCACCTGCACCCCCTTTTCTAAGCAATGCTAGTGATGTGTGAATGAAACAAATAGGAATGGGACTGGATAGCTCCAGCTTCCAAGCTTTTAACTTTGCTATAAACTACAAATCATCCATTTCTTCATTTCACACCCACCCACAAAATAGGGCATTTATATGAAAAGACAAACTTTTGGCTACCCACTCAAGACACAACCAATGGAGAGCTGCAGTCAGTCATGGCTTTCCAGCAGGAAGATCTGTATGATACAAATTTTTGCAAATAGTTTGTCGCTTCCACAATTATATTTTTAGATATACACATGGCAAACACCTTTAAAATTTAATGTGTGAAGTGGCCTTTAATGATCTGCTGATGATATTCCAGTGGATATCATTAGAAGCACTCAATTTATCTATACATTTATCTACACATGCAAACACCCCTGACAAATAATTATTAATTCCACAGATAAATGTGTGGAGTTATGACAATCCAGCCAAGAAGAGTGATGGCTACTAATATAGAAACTTCATTTTAATAATAATAATAGGGAAAAAAGAGAAAATATATATACAAAATTGGCATAAAAAGCAACTGAAATTCGACAAATATTAACTGAAGAAATACAAGGAAGAATGCCTGCAAATCACAAATAACCAGGAAAGCATAATTATGAAGCACAACTTTTTGAATAAATAAACCTCTTAAAAGAGCCATTTGAAGCAAATTTGGAGATTTCTCTTTAAGCAAAACTACTGAGCCAAACCTTAAAAAGTTTACACCTCTCAGCCTTCCTCAGAGTGGTTTTGCATAACTTCCCAAAAAAACAGAGATAACTGAATGGGCACTGCTGCAAAGAAGAAGAAGAAGAAGAGTTTGGATTTCATATCCCGCCTTTCCCTCCCTTTAAGGAGTCTCAAAGCGGCTAACATTCTCCTTTCCATTCCTCCCCGACAACAAACACTCTGTGAGGTGAGTGGGGCTGAGAGACTTCAAAGAAGTGTGACTAGCTCAAGGTCACCCAGCAGCTGCATGTGGAGGAGCGGAGACGCGAACCCGGTTCCCCAGATTACGAGACTACCACTATTAACCACTACACCACACTGGCTCTCAGGAAAGCAAATCCTGAAACTCCTTCAAGTAACCTGTTGATTCAGCATTCATCCTGATTTGCTTGAACAAAATACACAGGGGTTAGTCTATATCTGGCCTGCATTGATCATTCATTCTTATTTATTGGGGAGGGAAGGTTATACAACAAACATTCATCCTACTTTGCTTGGGGGGTCATTTGTTCATCACTCACTTTTCAGTGCAT